GCAATTAGCCAAAACCTCACACAAATAAGCTTTTTTGCCACACCGTTCTAACCACCAAGCATTAACCCATTTTCTTAGGAAACAACATCTGCTGAAACAACTTCCTAATCCAGCAGCAGGCATGGAAAAAACCCACTGCAGCATCTCTAGTGTATGGTAAAGAGAATTAACAGGCAGATTTGTCTTGCTCAGAGGGTACTGACTCTCACAGACCCTCTCCCTGCAATATTTATTCCCTGGGGCAGGAAAAGTGTGAAGGTCAAAGGTTTTCCTGCATCAATTCCATGTTTTAAAGACTGAGATGATGGTGGAGCAGCCTGGGGGATTTGGAGCAGGATTTGCATCCCTCAACCTGATTGCTGTGGGCTCTGAAATCCTTGGAGCTATAGGAGCTGTAAGGATAAATTAAAGCACAGCAGGATGGCACAGGTGTCATCTGTAAGAATAAACAAACTACTGGGCAAGAAAGTAAGTTTCCATTTCCTACCCTAGCCTTTACACAGCTTTTTTTTCCCTCAGAAAATGGGAATACAGAGCCAAAATTAAGCTTCATGATTTGCCCTAGGAAAGACAGAGACCACACTGCATCCTTCTCCTTACTCCAGATTAAAAGAGCAGCTACACTCCTGTGCCATTTGTTAGAACTCATTTCCTCCCTCACTCTCTGCCCCTCCTTTCTCCACCATCCTGAAAAAAAAAAAAAAAACAATAAAATAAAATAAAAAGCTTCCTTTTGGGAACACAGTGCTAATAATAATGCTCCCATCTGTTGATAAGTCCGAGGACCTGCACAGGGAGCAAGGAGGCTGGAAAGCTGAAAGGGAGTCAAGTGTTTGCATGGTTTTACTGAGAAATGAAATCCAGCTTTAAACACAGTAAATCGGAGACTATTCTGAATCACCTCTTGAATTTTTTAATGCTACTCCTGGGAGCACTGAAGGTAAATATGTTAATTTGACTTCAATCATGGTGCAGGGAAAAAAAAAAAAAAAAAAAGCAGCACACTGTATTAGTTTAGGGTACCAAGTCTTAAAACTATTCATGCATTTCTGCATATTTTATACTCAGCAAATAAAGTTCCAAGGTTCTATAAGGAGGCTGCAAAATTATTCTGAGTAAGCAATAATGAGCTGTGCATTATATAAGGCTGATACTAATGGTAATCTATTATTAAAATTTCAGAGTTATAGCAGCTCCATAAAAGTCCGAGAGCAGGTTTTCCTCCCAGGGAAGGGAGAGCAGGGAAGGTTGGCCAGACAGGTTTTAGGGGACCCAAACTGCACCCCAAGTCCTTGGGATAAGGTGTCCCATGTCTTATTAACTCTGGCACAGGTAGCACTGCACAGGCACCACCCCCAGTCACAGCAGGTTCATATTCCCAGCGTGTTTCATTCTGCACCTGAGTGTAACAGATCTCCCAAAATGCATTAAAAAATTATCAGGGTCTCAGGTTTGTACACCTCAGCCATCCCCAGAGCCAGCCTGACCCTTGGCTCCTGCTGTGATGCCTCACCTGGGCTGCACAGAGGGCAGGGATGTGCCCAGTGACACCCAGTGAGTTTTTCCTACCTGTCCCCTCCTGCCACATCACCTCCAGGGCCTCCAAAGGGCACCAGGACATGCAGGGTGGGTACCTGGACTCCAGTGCACAAAGGGACAGGGCAAACCCAGCACCCTGGCCCAGTGGAAGATTCCCTGCCCTTGGAACAGGGTTGGGGCTTTAAAGTCTCTTCCAAACCAAACCATTCCATGGTTTTACAATGCTCAGCAAGTTCAAGCCAAGCTTTGCTTGGTGTTGTTTGAGCTGGGTTTGTTCTGCCCCTCTCCCAGCCCCATTCCTGCCTGGAGATGATTCTTTCCTTTCCTGCTGCTTCAGGATCCATCCCAGAGAGCACTGTGGAATTTAAGGACAAATCATCATCTCCTGGAACAGCACCTCTCTGCACTGCTGTGAGAGAAACAAACAGCAAAAAACCCAGAGTTTGGCTCATTTTCCTCCTTCCTACATCTTTTGGTGAGAATCAAAGCAGTCTCTGGAGGCTGTAAATGTGGATCTGGAGAACTCACCCAGAAATAGGCACATCAGGAAGGCAACAGGACATATCCATGTTTAATCTGTACACCTCCATCTCACAGGGCCCATGGATCCTGAGCACACTTGGGAACGTGGTGGTCTCACCTCATCACCTGCCCCTCAGAGGAAAATCCTCCCTTGGTTTTGCATGAAATGCAAAATTACATTTTCCCTGCGTTTCAGAGCGTGTTGCAGTGCACAGCCAAGCTCCTTTTTCCCAAATGAAATTCTGCAGCAAGTGCAGATCCCGAAGGCAACGTTCTGCCCAAACCAGAGGATAATGAAGCATAATAATTCCAGGAGAAACAAACTTAGGCTGAGAGCTTTTTACACTGAGAAAGATCTTAAACAGAGATGAGCTCTTTGCTCTCTCCACGCTGAAAAAGGCACTGGGAAGGTGTGATAGGTTGACCATTAAACCAAGACAGAAGGAAACCAAAACACAGCAGGTCAGATTTGCTGGGTGTTTATGGCACCCACCTGCTCTGTGCCCATTCCCTGCTGGATTCCCTACCTGTGCTGAAGGAGTTAACAGCTCCTCTGGGATGTAACAGGAGCTGCACTTAGTCACCCAGGCATGTCCGGATGGGAGCTGCCTATGAATGAAGTTGCCTTGGAGATGCAGCCAAAACCAATGACCAGATATTAACTTTTCACCACGGGCTGCCAAGGCAGGCAGAACATGTGAAACCAGCAGGACACAGCTCCCAGCCAAGCTGGAATATCCGGATGAAACGCCAGGGACCCCTGATTCCCCCCAGAGGAGGAAAACTTTGTGTCTTTGCTCAAGGAAAACAGGAGAAATTTCCCCTTGTAAAGCCAAGCAGGCCAAGGGCTGGCAGTAAAACTCAGCTCTGGGAGCTTCTGGAATGGGCAATTAATGTCCATAAGCAAGATGATGCCTTCCCTTGGTTTAATTTGAAAGTTGATATTAAAGATAGCAGCTCATTGCTATTAAAGATACCAAGCTCCTTAATTCTTTCTGGAATCAGCTTCATAAGCAGAAAAAGCAGCACGGGCACCTTACCCAATGCAGCTGAAATGAGACATCACGAAACAAAACCATTAAGGAGGAGTTCAGAGGCTGGGCTGGTGCAGGATCACACATCTGCCTTAGCCAGCACTTCCTCTCCACTTCCAAGGGCAGGTTTGGGTGAGCAGCAAGGAGAGGCTGCCCCAGCCATGTGCTGCCTCCCAGGGCAGTCACACAGGAGGAAACTCAGCTCCAAGCAGAGCTTTCTCAATCTCGGCTCAGAGCTTCCTCCTGTGCCTCTCTGAAGATGCTCAGCCACTTCCCAAGGGGACTGTGCCAGGAGGACAGTGGGTGACCCAAAAAGTGGCAGAGGGTAGGAGGAAGAACATCCATTAAAGCCCGTGGGTGAAACCTGCTCCACCTGCACCTCTCCTCCCTCCAACCTCACTGACCCAAGAACAAAAAAAACAGCTTTCAACCACGACAAGGCTTGCTGTGCATGAGATAAATCACAGCAGCACACCCCACTGCCACTGGGGAACACACAACACCAATGGACACACCACAACCTCTGATTTCCATCCCAAAATCCAACCTCTGCAGGGGATGTGTGCTGGACATGAATCCCAGCCCCAGCAGCAGCCAGCACTGATGGATGGGTGGTGAAGCCACACTTGGGGCTGTGGGGCCATCACAGATCCAGGAACACCAGGGACATCTTCCCATCAGAACAAACACTTCCTTCCCATCCACACGCCAGCCCCTTGATATTTTTTTTTCCCCTGAAGGAAAAACAGAAGATGCTTTCCATAAGCAGACGATTTCAGCAGCTAATTTTACCATCACTTATGGTCGACTTTATGACTAAGATTTCATGCTGACTATATTAATCCTGTCAAATTTCAGAGCGAGAGAGAAATGATACTGTATATTTTATGGCTGCAATAACTTCTAAGCCATTAGACATGCATGCTGACATGAAAGTAATCAAATTGATTTTTTCCTATTACAATGAAGAACTTTGTATGAGCAAATAGTCTTTCTGGCACAGGAATGAAGCACCAAGAAGCCTGTGCTCACTCAGGAAATTAGGAAATTGCCACGAGCCATCGTTCAGAAATTTGAGTTTTCTGCTTACTCACATTTTATTGTCACCAAAGCTGAAAGGGACACGTTAGTCACCCAAACGATCGACAAAAGCCAACGCCAGGGATAATCAGAGGGGTTTGAAGCCCTGTTAAATACTGCAGAAGCTGCAGTTAATTGTTTTCCCAGCATTAAAGGCTCCCCTGTGCCTTTTTTAACCTCACCAGACACGTTTTATTCTCCTCACAGCTCACTGGCCACTCCTCCAGGTGTTGGGTGGGCAATGCAGAATGGATCAGAGCAAGTTGCTCAGAGGGATTTTGGTAAATCCTCGAGACCTGGAAGTGTTAATGGATATCCCACAGTCAAAGAGAAAGCCCGTGGGCCAGAAGGTCAGCTGAAATGATTTTAAAATGCAAATAAGTCTTGAATTCTAAATTCCAATTGCTTAGTGTTTTGTTGAGGGTTTCAACACCAACTCATCTCTACACCTCGACTCTGCCTACCTAAAATTGCAATTAAAAACCCTTTAACCCAACCTGTGTGTCAAGTTCTAGAGAAAGTCGGCTCAAACCAGACCCAGGGTGGGCACACAAGTGGCAGGGCAGAGGTGCCAGCCCGGGGTGTCCTGTGTGGCCAGGGGCACAGCTGGGCAGGGCAGGGGCTCTGCAAGCCAAGCCTTGCAGGGATGGGCCAACAGGGCACACCTGCCAGCTGAAAAATCCCTGTGAAAACCTGTTTTCTTCCCCTGCTGCGTGAGAACACGTTGGGTGTGAGAGGACAAGATCAGAGAGGCTCAACATCTCCAAAGACTCAGCAACCAGAAGCAATTAAGTGCAGATAACACAAATAATGCAAGAGACTCACCTGACACCCTGGGGCAAAGCCACGGCTCCTCTACAGCCAATAAAGTGCAAGATTTCCTTTTAGTTTTCTGTGTTTCTGTGGAATATTGGTATCAATCAATAAATAATGTCAGATCTTTCACATCAAGCCACCTGCACGAAATAAACTGGCACAGGGACGTGCTAGAGCTGTCTGAAGGCTCAAAGAGATAGGAGTTGTAAATATACATATATTTATATACATATATGTATGTGTCTTGGGTTACCAAAATAATTACAGTTTTAACATGCATTTAGTTGCAAATTAAAATGCTTTGATGGCTTTCTATCAATAACATTTTTTTTTGTTACGTTTAGAAATACAAAACCATAAAACCACAACTACATGGATGGCCTCATCCAAGACTTGCAAAACACCAATTTTAGTGAATTCCAATTTCAGTGAATTCCTTTGTCCTTCCACACTAGATATTTGTAAAATCATCAGAGCTGCTGTGGGCAGAGAACCTTCCACTAGATCAGGTTGCTCCACCCAAGGTGGCCCTAAAGAAAAAAAACTTGGGTATTTTGTTGTTGTTTTGGGGTTTTTTTAAAAGTTGTGCACAAGCAAAGCTCTCCCAACAAAACCCAAGCCAAAGCTCATCCCAGCACACTGAGCCCCATGGCCCAGCACCAACCTCTGCTGTCCCTGAGATTCAGAAAGATCCCAAATTCCAAGGCAAGCCTGGTCCCATCCCGACTTGGGACGTGGTGCCCAGAGAAGGACGAGCAGGAAACAGCAAATCCTTTCAACCAAACCCCAACAAGATCATCCTTCAAAGTTATTCCCCAAACCCAGAGCCTTGCAAAGGTAGGAGAAGCCTCCCAGGAGAGGCAGTGAACAATATCCATGAGTTTCTCATGACCTTACAGAGATTGCCATGACAACACTGCTTCGATCCTCCAAACATGGATATATTCATTTACACTGGTGTGATTGAGAATAATTAGAGTGAGATTCCCTGAGCCAGGGAGTCACAGCCGTGCACGGCTCTGGCAGCAGAGCCCAAGTTTCAAGGGAAGCAGCCTCAAATTTAAATGTAAAAAAGAAAACCGACAACACTCTTCGGAGCCTCGTGACCTAATTCATTATAAAGAATGTCAGTTAGCAAACCTTTTAAATAAAACATTAAGCTAGAGGTAATTTGAAGCCTTGTGGATTTTGTTTTACTCAATTATTTTCTAATGCTTCAACTTCAAGAATAAATATGCAGGAATCAAAAAAAAAAAAAGAAAAGGAATACTAAGGGTTTCATTTAATTCTTTTTTCAAAAGAAATGAAGACATTCACACTAAACCAAAATACCCTCAACCAAGCTGGATTTTTAATTAAAACTTTTATGTCCTACAAGATTCTTCAAGGTTAGAATATCTGCTCCCACATCGTGAGGCAGCACCATGCCTTTACAAGGGCGAGCACATCATCCACGTTAGAACAACCTGTGCTATGCTTTGCTATAACTTATTTCCAGGACATCCACTCACAAATTAAACCAGGCTGGAATGCTATTTCTTCCCTGCCCCCTAATTTCCATAAGCATTTGCAATTTTCCCTCTGTTGGGAAGAGTTTCCCTGCAGCAGGCAGAGGCAGGGGATGATCACGTTGGTCTCTGCTTTGGTTTTTATTAATGCCTGGTGGTAAGAGCACGGCTGGAGTGGGGCAGTGGGGATGTAAAAACTGCAGCAGAGGGTAAAATTCACAGCCTAAAATGAGGTCAATTGGGAAAAGGTGGAAAATAAAGGGAATCACAGAATCTTGGAGTAGTTTGGGTTGGAAAGGAGCTTAAAGCCCAGAAAAGGGGAAAAATAAAGGGAATCACAGAATCCTGGAGTAGTTTGGGTAGGAAAGGAGCTTAAAGCCCATCCAGTCCCCACAGGCAGGGACACCTTCCACTGTCCCAGGTTTCTCCAAGCCCTGTCCAACCTGGCCTGGAACATTTCCATGGATGGGGCAGCCACAGCTTCTCTGGAAGGAGCTCGATGAACACTGGACATGCTCTTCTAAGAAATACAACAAAACAAAACAAAAAAATACCATGGCAAAGAGGCATCCTTTGAAGAAAAAAAAGTTTAGAGCTAAATATTTGATTTGATTTTGGCAGCATCACCCTTTTCCAGAGGCTACCAGAAAGAGATTTGCAGGAATTTGCTTAACACTACTCTGCTACAAGTCCACTGCTACAAAACATCCCGGAAACAAAGAAACCCAGAAGATAAAAAGATTCCTTTCCACCACACTGTTTGGAATAAAACACCTCCCTACTTTGAACCAGCCTTCCTTGCAACGTTTGAAAAATAAAAAGTCAGCCTTTCCCTGTAATTCACCCCAGCACGGATCCATCCCCAGGAGATGCCAGGGAAGCAGAGCACACTCATGTAACCCCCTCACTGCTCTGATTTTCAGGTCACAACCACACCCCTGGGGCCACTTTCGGGGTGCTGGAAGTTCTCTGTGTCACGGAAATAAAGGATTTGGTGTTGGTGGAAGGTGTGAAGGGTGGAACTCACACACCAGCCCCAGGGCTCCCCAGCCCTGCTCGAATCCAGGGCTACTTTTCAAGGCACAAAACTCCAGATAAATCCATTTCTCTGCAGCAGGGAATAAACAAGGATTAGTATTCACCCGTTCATAACAGGGAAACCCTGCAGCTAAAGGTGGAGTCAGGCAGTGCCAGAACATCCAGCCTAAGTTGCTTGACGAATGCTAACTATGACTTCCAGCTTATTTATCTAATTTGGGTTGATTTTTAAATATTGAGTTATCTAACCAGACACAAAAAGAGAGCCTGAAAATTTCCCATGTTAGTGAAAACTCTCCCTGCTGCTGTAATTCAATCTGCATGTCTGAATATTACTGACTTTTCTCAATCACATTTGTATTGAGAAATGCCTAAAAAAATTCAGGACCTCGTTTTCTCAAAATGATATTAAGTGCCTGGAAAACGGGGTTCTACAGCAAATGAGCCTCTCCAAAGCTGACTGTGATGCACAGCTTGCAAGTATTTTAGTCATTTACAATATTTATCAGGCTCTATTTTTGTCAATCAATCCATAAGAAGAGCAGAGCAGCCAATACCTATAAAACAATCAGCTCGATTTCAGCACGGGCTGGTTTCTGTGAGAGAGAACTGACAGAACCAGTTTGTAACACACACACACACAAAAAAAAAATCCATGCAGGAGGGATGAAGGCAGTGGCAAAATCCTCAATGGCTTCAGCCAGGCCAGGATTACCTCCAGGAACGTGCTGATGCTTGGAGAAATGCAAGGAAGATGCCAAGGCTGGAGAAAAAGGAGATCAGGGAAGATCTTATTGCTCTGCACAGCTCCCTGACAGGAGGGAGCAGCCAGGGTGGGTCAGGAAACAGGGACAGGATAAAAAGAAACAGCCTCGAGCTCTGCCAGGGTTGGACATCAGCAGGAACTGGACATCAGCAGGAATTTTTACATTTACAGCACTGAAGGGGCTGCCCAGGGAGTGCCCATCCCTGGAGGTGTCCAAGGAAGGCTTGGATGTGGCACTCAGAGCTCTGGGCTGGGCACAAGGTGGGGATGGGTCACAGTGATCCCATCCCAGAGGGATTTTTCCCAAACTCAGAGATGCTGTGAAGGCTGCACGGGGCAGGACCACCCACCCCACCCACCAGTGCCTGGGCTCCCTCCTGCACCCCTGCACTGCCCCCATTCAGGGTGGTCTCACTGGTCCCAGTGATCCAGGGGTTGAAACTGGTGATACTGGACCCCCTGGGGAGTGTGTCCCTGTGAAATCTATCCCAATCCTGCTCCTTGGAACTGCTGCTCGTGCTGAGGGTGATGCTGAGCATCCCCACCCCATGGAATGCGAGGCACCACCACGTAATTTCAGAGAATATCAGAGCCTGTAATCACCACCAGGATGGATTTGAAACAACAATCAAAGCACAAAAAACCCTCCCTGACCATCCCTGAACCCACAAGGTTCAACACACTGCCCCCAACCCCAGCCCTGGTTTTAAAATTCAGCCTTTATCAGCTTGAGTTGAGCAAATCCAGTCAAAAGGCAGAAACGGATTGTGCTAGTAAGCAGAAAAACTGTTACATCTTCTGAATGTAATTTTGCCAAAAGCCTCTGCACAATTTTTTTTGTCACGCTTTGCATTATGAAGGAAATTTCTTTTTAGAAGAACAGGAGAATGATTTGCATAATATTCTTTGCAAGTTAATATCAGCCTCTGATAATGATCTCTGCATAATGCAAAAACGTTTGAGAAGACTGTTACAACACTAAGTAATCATATTTTAAATTATGTTTCCCTTTATAGAAAGGTGTTGCAAAAACACACAGACATGAAATCTGTCTGTTGAAGTCCCAAGAACCACCTGACCATCTTCCCACTATTCTACTGTTACAGATTGCAACACTGCCTTTCAAAATCTTACAAAACAAATTACTCTGCAACAGTCTGGCTTCACAGAAGGCAGAGCTTTTTCCTGTGCTGCTGCTCCAGCACATTACATTTCACAAGAGCCTCTGATGTACTGCAGGGGTTAAGCAAGGGCTCAGAAATGAAGCTGTAACACAAGCAGACGTGGGGATTGAGGTGGATTCTCCCATCTCACACTGCCACCAGGCAGAGGTGGCAGCACCAAGGCCATGCCCTGCCTGCCACCAGGTGCTGGGGACACTGCTTTAGCTGATTGCTAATGACACTGATTTAAGGTGATTCCTGCTTTTTTTTTAGGGTGGCTCCACCTGGCTCACAGATGGAGCACTGGGAATTCACACTGTGACCCCACTGGGTCAAGTGTCCCTTCCAGCAGCCAGGGATCTTCCAAAATCTCTGCGAGGGACGAGGTGCTGGATGCAGCCACGAGATCTCCACTCACGCTGTCACTCATGGCTAATTAGGTCAGGAACTAAACGTAAAAATCAAAACATAAAAGCAGAGGTCCAGGAGGAAACCATTTGTACAACTCTGCCGGGCAGCATCCTATTAGATGTGGGCGATTTCCCTCAGCCCATCTCCAAAGGGGGATGTGGGTGGGAAGCTAATGCACTTGGATATTAAATACTTAATATGTCACTAAGACTTACCAGCCACAGCCAAGTGGTTTAAACCTGAGCTAACCTTCCCTGAACTCCACGGAACAGAGGGAGGAGCCCTCGCACGAGGAGACGGAATCGGGAGCGGGACGAGGAGCAAAGAAAGAAACTTTGGGACCAACCACACAAATGATGCGACTCAGATTTGGGGTGAGGCA